TAGATATATATATATATTTGGTCACCTTATAATTCTTGAATGCATTTATCGATGTATCGAGCCAATCAGCTGAATGCTTTAGCAACACGTGCGGTTGTGGCTTTGATAATTGTTTAAATATATTTTTATAAGAAAGGAAATGGGAGGTGGTAAAAAGAAAGTACATCCGAAAACGCGCACTGCAGCGTTCAAAGCCAGTGAACCAAGTGAAATAGTTGAGGCCCCACACTCGTTCGTCATACACCGCGGTCTGTCCTGTCCGTATATCGCGGATTTAACTGTTGACTTTCGTCGAATAATGGAGCCGTTTACTGCATCCAATTTGCGTGAAAAGAAAATAAATCGCATCAAAGATTTTGTTAGTCTAAGCAGCTTCTTTCACGTCTCGCACATGGCAATTTTCAACAAAGCATCTACACAGTTGTCCTTTAAAGTGCTTCGCTTACCGCGTGGCCCATCTTTAACGTTCAAGGTATTTTGAATAGATTTGCTTTTACCATGAAAATGAATTGTCTACATATATGATAAAACCTCTCGTGGTCAACAGGTACATCAGTTTACGCTTGCACGTGACGTCATCTCTAGCAGTAAGAAGCAAATGTTTGATGTTGATTATTTCAAACATCCACCGCTTGTGATCATGAACAACTTTAGCGGCGAAGGGAAACATTTGAAATTAATGGCCGCAACATTTCAGAACATGTTTCCATCAATCAATTTGGCTCAAGTTAACATTGATACCATACGCCGCTGCCTTCTGTTCTCTTATAATTCAGAAACAAAGCTTGTAGACATGCGCCATTATGCGGTGCAGGTGGTTCCAGTGGGTCTAAAACGAGCTGTGCAGAAAATTGTCAGCGGTAATGTGCCAAATCTCAACAAATGTGAGGAAGTTGTCGATTTTGTGATGAAGTAAGACCAATATTGTCTAACATTGAAGCCATTTTATGTACTATTGAAATTTTGTAGGGATGGATATGCTTCGGAAGCGGATGCCGACGACGATGAGCAATCACATGTGGTGTTGCCCCAAACAGTGAAAGGCAAAGGGAATTTCGAAAACCACAAAAGCTCTGTGAAGCTGCACGAAATTGGACCTCGCCTAACAATGCAGCTTATGAAGATCGAGGAGGGTCTACTAACCGGCGAAGTGCTTTATCACGATCATATTGTCAAAACTGAGGAAGAGAAGGAAGCACTACGTAAATTAATTGAAAAGAAACGCAAATTGAAAGAGCTGCGCAAGAAGCAACAGAACGAGAATCGCGAACGCAATTTGAAATTGAAGAAAGAGCAAAACAGGGAAGTGAGGCGCAAAGAAACTGAAGAAAATGCAAGTGATGCGGACGATGATGCTCAATATTACAAAGATGAAGTTGGCGAAGAACCGGACGAGGGTTAGTGTTGATATAGTCCTGATGCATCAATATTTATTATATGTATTTATTTATATCACTTTTTACAGAACTTTTTAAGTTGGATAACACGGCGTCAAGAAAGCGGCCCAAATTACCAGCCGGTATGAAGCACAAAAACAAGAAAGCTAAATTAAATCAGAAACCTTTAAAGAAGTCTAAGGAAAAGTAGCAAATACAAAAGCAGAATATTATTATGAATACATAGTGTGATTTATTTCTGTGACATCCGTATCTAGGTAAACATTCGCTGCACCAGCTGTTTGTAGTTGGCATTGCTGCTTTTCCAGCTTGTTGCTATATTGTCCCGCAATTTAGTAAATTCTCGTTTATCTTCGTACTGGGGTACTCGCTCGATCAAATTTTGCGCCTTTTCAAACTCTTTCAGGTAATAGAAGGCCAATGCGCGCCGATAGATACTCTTCTCGCTCGGTTGCTCCTGGGTATCCACAAATTCTGTGTGGTATATAACGTGCTCGTAACGTTTCTCTAGTATCATACAAGCAGCCAAGTTGGTTTGTATCTGAACGAAGAGCTGCTCCATTTCATTGCCAGCGATGCCATTTTTTTGCTTATCCAGTTTGTCGAATGGTTTGTACGTGATTAGTAATTTAGCTGCACGTGAGAAATAGTCACAGGCAAACTTCGGATATGCCTTATACATGGCTACGCCGTTCTCTTTGTACTTTAATGCCAGATTATACATTTCTCCTGCGCTCAGTTTGTCGATTTGCTTATTGCTCACAATTCGATCTAACTTCAGCTCAAATTCCAAACATTCGCCAGTTTTGGTGGTAATGCTGCAAGCTGAGGTTTCGCCGATTACAAACTGTTGCAATAATATTTCTATATAGCAATCAATGGGGCTATCTGCGCTGCCCATATCCAATGTGTACTGTTGTGGCTCTTTGGAAACCAAGTATTTACTGGGCCTGGAGCCCAGGTTAGCGCACGGCTTTTTTACGGTAAATGCGACAGTGCTTACCAAAAGAGGTTTCTCAACCCTTTGGAATTCTAAACTTAGCACTTTTTTCTGCAGACCACGAGCTACGTCGCTCCACTCTTTTCCAACGTACCAATCCATTGCAGAAAAATTACCGAATATTTCAGTTGGAAAACTGTTTAGATTCTTCTAGTTACTAACAATCAACTGTTAAACTCAAAAGAAACTGTTTAGAAAAACAGTGTGACCAATAGTCGACAATCCAAATGCACACAATAAAGAAAAACTGGATAACATAATTCTTGAGCCCGAGCTGAAGTTAACATGCATAAAATAAAGCTACGACACATTCAACAGGCCAGAGGCCTTTCTCAACTGTTACAAAAGGTATCAATGAGTTCCCAGCCAAATGTTTATGTGACTCGTCCGGATGTGGATGACAGTGGACTGGAATTGCTGCGTAAGAGGTTGTTTGTTGTTTGTTGCCTTAAATTATTTTTAATCTCGTTATCTGATGTTTTTGAGCAGTTGCAATGTGTCAACATGGTCACAGCCTTTGCCAGTGCCGCGAGATGAATTACTTCGTCAGGTTAAGGGCAAGGATGCTCTATACTGTGCTCTAACGGATAAAATCGATGCCGCCGTGCTTGATGCGGCTGGAACGCAGTTAAAATGCGTGGCCACCATTTCAGTAGGTTTTGAGCACATTGATGTGGAGGAGTGCAAAAAACGTGGCATTCGCGTTGGGTACACGCCCGACGTACTGACCGACGCCACAGCCGAGCTAACGCTCGCATTACTGCTAGCTACTAATAGACGTTTGTTCGAGGCCAGCAAGCAGGTTTACAATGGCGGCTGGAAATCGTGGGCACCCATGTGGATGTGTGGTCAAGGATTGAAGAACTCTCGTGTTGGTTTGTATGGATTTGGACGCATTGGTCAGGAGATTGCTGCTCGCATTGTACCTTTCAAACCAGCTCAGATAACCTATACGACTCGCACTGCTAGGCCAGCGGAGGCAGCTAAGGTTAATGCTCAGCGCGTGGACTTTGACGAGATGCTCTGCTTATCGGATTTTATTGTGGTTTGCTGCTCTCTAACCCCTGATACCAAGGAAGTATTTAATGCTTCTGCATTTGAGAAAATGAAACCCAATTGCATTTTTATCAATACGGCACGAGGTGGAGTTGTGGATCAAAATGCTCTTTATGACGCTCTCCATTCGAAGCGGATACTTGCTGCAGGCTTGGATGTGACCACACCTGAACCACTGCCACTTGATGATCCACTCTTAAAACTAGACAATATTGTTATATTGCCGCATATTGGCAGCGCAGACATTGAAACCCGCAAGGAGATGTCCCGTATAACGGCCAGAAATATTTTGGCGGCTTTGAATGGTTGCCAAATGGAGGCCGAAGTGATGTGAATCAATCTTAAATGCTAGAATATCACCAATCGTCTAATCTCTGATAATAGTAATTAAGGCCAGCAATAAAATTAAATTTAAAAAAAAGAAGAAATATAGAATGAGTCGTTCCTTAGATAAGTTATATAAGATGATTATACTTTTGTTGGCGAAAACATATTTATCTAAATATTAATTAAATATTGGTTAACATGGAACTGTTAAATAATTTTATAGAAATGTGTGTGACTATCGTCAAAATCTTTAGATGATAGATGCTTGCGTGTTTGGTTAGTGGTGCTAGCTTATCGATTGCACATCAATAAAACCATGTATAGGTTTTATCACTGACCACTGTGTTCTATGATTAGTGGTTTTAATTAAGTATTAATATATTTTCTATTCATATTACTACCCAGAATATATTGTATTTTATACATACATATATTCCTCCCTTTATTTTAAGATGCTGATTTGAATTAATAAAAAGCTTCTCAATATACGGTATGCACATACATATATTCTATATTTCATATTTTGGCACAATTCCAAAGTTCTATGAATGACGCAAAAAAATTAAAAAAATAACGCTGAGAATTTTTTGATAATAAATACGAAACTTGTTTATCTGATTTCCAAAACGGCTCCACAATTTTTTACAAGGAATTGAATGCACATTACAAGGCTGCCTTTACAAACTATGTACATTGCAACAGATTGCGTAGGTTTACTTATTTTTTCAAGTACTCAAACTTTTAAATTGAACGGACATTAAAATAAAATCGAAAGCTACTCATCGACAAATTTTGACGATAGTCCAAAATTATCAATGTCCACTCCTATCTACTCATTTGAGACTGTTGGTCAATATTTATTTCTTAATTTCATTTTATTTATTTATATGGGACACTTTATTTTTAATCAATTTAGTGCATACAAAAGTGTTGTGTTTAACATTTTTTAAATTTAAGAGTACAGGACACATTGTCCTTTTCTACTTATATACAATTATATTTTTATAATATGGAAATTGATTCGTTATAGTTTAACATAATTATATATAAAAACCCCATAAAAAATAACTGACTTAAAAACAAGAATTTAAATTAAACTTATTTCTACTATGTACATATGTAAGATAATATTATTAATGTGTGGGTAAATGGAACCTGAACATTATTTATGAAGTTAGAATGCAGCTTCTCTATTCTACTTGATGCTAATTCTACAAATTTTATTCCATTAGCAAAGATTGAGTCGCCATGCAATATTAAACGAATTTTACCAAGACTTTAAGTAGTTAGAACTTATTTTATTTGCTGTATGAAATTTATTTTACAATAAAAATGTTCCGATAGTAGCACTGGTAACACTATTGCTCACTGCTCTTAACAGTTGAGCAAAATGCTAAGTTAACAGCATGCGCCATTTTTTTCGTATCGTTCCTTCTTTTTACTGTTTCAGCGCGTGGCAGTTGTGGCCCCGGTTCCGTGCAGTTGTTAATTGCAATTTTGCCAGAAATTTGAACTCATATTTTAAAACACCAACGCCAAGATGAGAATCTACAAGGATATCATTACCGGTGATGAGATGTTCACCGACACCTACAAAATAAAACTGGTTGATGAGGTTATCTACGAAGTCTATGGAAAATTAATCAGCCGTACAGAGGGAGATATTCAGCTTGCAGGCGCCAATCCCTCGGCCGAGGAAGCAGATGAAGGCACAGAAGTAAATGTCGAGCGAGGAGTCGATATTGTTCTGAATCATCGTCTGGCAGAATCTTTTGCCTTCGGAGATAAAAAGTCGTACACTGTCTACCTGAAAGAATACATGAAGAAAGTTCTGGCAAAACTGCAGGAAACCGCCCCCGACCAGGTTGAAATTTTCAAAACCAACATGAACAAAGCTATGAAAGACATTCTGGGCCGTTTTAAGGAGCTCCAGTTCTTCACGGGAGAATCCATGGATGTCGACGGCATGGTAGCCATGTGTGAATACCGAGACATCGATGGCCAAAGCGTTCCAGTTTTCATGTTCTTCAAGCATGGACTTGAGGAGGAGAAGGTCTAAGCTGCACGCTCCGTTCTGTATGTTTCGATTCAGTGGCTTGCACTGCAGAAGAGCGAGCAACGCCCAATGCAAGGCAAAAGCAACAGCCACCACTGAACGAACAAACATAAACTAACAAAAACACAAAGGCAGACAGCGGACACATACTCACGCATACATACCCATTTCAAACGGATTTCTTTAGTTACGGTTTTTTTTATTTTTGGCAGCAGTTCGATAAAATTTATGTTTATGTATGAAAAATTGAAAACAAATTGGAGAGTTAATTCCGTTTTATTATTTAGAATCAATGAATGTAAATGTTGTTTTATGGAATGAGCAAAATTTGTAGTTRTAACTGAAGGAGAGCCTCGAAGAAGAAGAACCAGTTCACCAGGAGCCACACTCACACAGTAGCTAAAAATAACTAAATTATCGTATAACTATTGTAATTGAATGCAGCGTAATTTAATATTTTTATACAGCAAAGCAATTTTTGTGTAGTTTCTTATATGTTTTCAACACGCAATGTCAAAAAAAAAAAAGGAACAAGAAAAATAAGAAAATTTGTATGTATTAAAACAAATATATAAAACGGAAACCATATACACAAACTGAATTCGTAAATTATATTAACACGTTTTCTTCCTCTGGTGGGTTCAAGTAGGCACAGGCGAGACGGCATTGCAGCTGCGTCTACTGTTATGAACACACGCTTCGTGTGGCATTGACTCAGACAAGGTCTAGGCAACCCAAATGTTATTGACCTTTGGCAGTGATACATACGAATGTTTGTCTGTACGACTGCTGTCATGCGCAATGTACATTTGTTCGCCTTGTCCTGATGCACCACCGTAAGTAAATTGTCCTATATTTTGAAGGCTTTGAGAAATTCAATATAACCTCAATCATCTGCATACCACTTTGCTGAGCTGTGCAATGCACACATATGTATATATATGTATATGTACGTCATACGTCAAGAAAGCTTTTTCACATTTGTTTGTGTGTGCTCTGCTCGAGCGTCTATAGTCTAGAAGCTTATCGTATACAATCACACTTTCGCACATTCACAAAGACGCACGTGTATACCTGTTAGATCGCGTGTACGTTTGCGTACAGTGCGGACTGCCTACAATGACTACATGTGAGGCACGTATTTTAATATATTTATATAAATACATATA